CCCCAAAACCCCAAAACCCCAAAACCCCAAAACCCCGTCTACATAAATATGAAAAATAAGATTAAGAATAAAAATTGATTTATATAATTAAATTGCTTTATAAATAATTAGATTTCAATGGAATAATTATAATAGGAAACTCATCTGTAAATAGAAGGGCCAGGACTAATTAGAAACTAATCACCTCTCTAGAATCATAACCTAACTTTCCTAAATTAATCTGGTGACTATAAAGTTTAGTAAAATATTGCAGGCGCACAAATTAGGCAGAATTAATCGATAGAGAGGCTTCCATCTTATACTGTCAAATATTTAGGAGTTGTTGAAGGATGTATGGGTATTCTTTCAAGAAAAATGGCATTGCCAAACTATCCGTTTAGGACTCCTTCTAAATTATATATGGATTTATAGCATATCAAGAGCATTGAGAAGAGGTTTCAAAGAAGGTCCCCTAAATTACTGAGTCCAATCATGACTAAGAATACTTAGCAAAAGTAAAAAGCAACCCAAATTATCAATCAGATTGTTCCTAATAGTCGTGGTAGCAGTGGGTTGAATAGCTATATGGAGAATGATGAAACTGAAGCGGATAAATCTCAATTTGAAAAAACTTAAGTACTAAATTAAAATAACCATAAAATGCAAGTGAAATTGCTAAGCTAATCTTAACTTTCAGGTGATGGTTAAGACCACCAAACAGGTATAGAAGAAAGAACAATGTATTACTTGAATAGCAAGTATCCTGTTGAAGGTAAAAAATTTAGTTTAGTAAATAGGTATGATGCACCAAGCCCCTCATCAAATGGTACTTCTCGAGATAATATGAGCAAATATGCACCATTTAGATAGATTAAAAAGTCTATTCCTAAAAATCATAGATATCATGGTAAAAACGCATCTCAATCAGTAAGGTATATCTAGCAAAAAGAGCATCAAATGAGATCATCATTTAGTTAATAAACTTCACCATCCCGTAAAAATCACAAGAATAGAGAATTAACTCCTTTAAATTCTTAGAATCCATCTACAAATAACCATCCTAACTTTTCTCCAAATCCCTCTGAAGTTAATATACCAACCACTCCTCGGATAATAACTCCTGAGATTCCTTAGTATCATCCGCCTATAATAGCCTAACCTAATAATATAAGTTTCAATGTTAATATTACTAACGTTTCTTCTCCATAAAATCAATCAGACTAGGACAATCCATTCTTGTCAGGTTATGCTGAACCAGAAAAGTTTGATAGGTACTATATAACACATTACTCTCTGCCAAGAGGACTTAATACTTTTAAGAATATCCACAAAAAGAATGAATTATATCTTCAAAAGTATTCTGATATTAAGCTATCTCCTAAGAATACCATAATGGTAACAGAGAGCAATACTTCAGGATTCACAGATGTTTAGCAGAGAAGAGGCTTTTTGGGAAATAAAATCAAGAAGCTCTACAAGCACAAAACTCCTTGTAGCTTTAACGAAGAACAGTATTAATTGGAGTAAGACTACTTAATGTCAATGCACTATAAGATGTAATAATCAGAGTAACTTAAGCAATATCTTGAAGGCCAAAAAGGTAGTGCTCAGCCTAAAAGTAGATAAGATTAACAAGTTTTAGATAGTCATACAAAAAGGATTGATAAATTAAATCTATAGATTGAGAATTTGAGATCCTAGTAAGATTAGCTCCAAAGTAATGCAAACATTATTATTTCAAATAACTAAAAGAGGTAATCGAAGAAATTGAATGAGGACATATCATAAGTAGAAGTAATCAAGTCTCATATTCATCAAAGTCCTATCCCTCAAAAATATCCATAAACCCCTATTTAAGATGAAAAATCTCCAACATAGATTATGTCTTAGTCCTTTTAGGATCCTAACTAAATATATTAATAATCTTAATAACAATAATAATTATTGACACATCAAAGAAAGATACAAACTAAATAATCTAAATTGTTCATAAATAGTTCAATGCCTGTGTCTCCTTCTGCACTTAAAGTTTTGAAAGGCAAGGTCAGGAGGACTTATCAATAGAGAATGCTGCTGCGAGATGACCCAATGTCCTTAGAAAATCTCGAAAATTTCATGCTTAATAAAACCACTTAGCCAAACTTTAATGAAAATTAAAATCTTTAATCATATAAATGCCTTCACTAAAGAAGAGGAAGTTAATAACCAAATTGTTGTATGGTAGATGAGAGCTCTAGAGTGTGGAGTAACGTCTTTAGACAAGATGATGTAGTGCCTAATCATGGCTTTTCATCAACATAAATTGTCTAGCCTCATGATTTCAACAGATATCCCTCTGAGCAAAACAATAATAACCATATTAATGAGCATTAATATTAGCATCATGAAAGACCATTATATGATAAAAATTAGATAAATGTTCAAATCAAAGGAGGTGGCCATGTTTTTGGAATTCCTCTACAGTAAGTATGGCCATTCAACCAAAAAGCTAAGTTTGCTGATAATGATCATGGTGAAGATCTTAAAAGTTTCGCCTCGGAATATTCAGGAGCAAAATTAAGCTTTAATACCTAGACGTTTATGGTAAATCAACTTTAAAAGCAGCCTCATACACCTCCTATGTAAATTAATAATTACTGATTAAACTGCTATTGGCTGAATTAATGAATGTGAAACTAATAGAGCTACTAATTCGAACAAACAGGAATTTGGACATTCAGATGATTATTGGATTAGTGGTGCAACCATTCAGCTTTGGCAAGACCAGTAATTTGAATATTTAGCTTAACTTGTATCTATTTTAAAATATAATTAAGATAATAGTTTAATCAACTAAATCAAACTTAACTTTGCAAAACTTATCGCACCACACAAAAGCCATTTAAATCATGAAACAAACTAATTTATCTAGCATTTTCCCACAAACTAAGCATCTTCCAAATGCCAATCAGGCTGGTCTTGACCCAAACTTCGACTAATTTGATATTCAGAGCCTCAAAACTAATGCTTAAAGTCATACTCTCATTAAAAAGCAACTTAATGCGACAACAAACATCACTCCTACTCTTTAGAAAGCATCACAAATCAACAATTCTATTACAAAAAGCAAGAAATCTGCAAAGAAAAATTCTTAGGCTAAGAATAGAGAAACTAGTGGCAAAAGAGAGCAGATTAATATCAAGAATCTCGCTTAATAAGTCAGTTTAAGTCAAATGCCTACTCAAGCATCTACTCTATTAGCGACTAAGAAGAGAGTCTAGGCTCCTGCTATCTCAGAAAACCAGGAATATGATATGATTTAGCTTAAAGAACTAAATAATAGGTCAGACAGATCAAAATAGAGAAATGTGTAAAGAATTGATAAAACTCAAACACCAGATCATGCTATGAATGAGATTGATTCTAAAAAGAGAAAATATAATGGTAAGCTCTTTTATTTAATCGTTTATTTTTGAATTTAGAAATTTCTACTGAGATTACTCATAGCTAAGATAATTAAATAGATTCTAAAAAAAGAAAAATTAGTAAAAACAATTAATCTCAAACTATCAAGGTATCTCCAGTTAAGGATAGTATAGAATAGAGATATCAATAGCCAAGCAAACCTTAAGAGATACAATCAACTATAAAATCTGATATTCAGCAAATTTTGAGCATTGAGACTTAAAATCTTTTGAAAAAATCTATGCAAAGCTAACATCCAGCTTAAAGTGCAGGCTAGTTAAAGTAGTAAACTCCTAAAAAGCATAAAAAGTCTGTAATAAAGACTCTAAACGACTAAGATCTCAATATTGAAGAGATGAAGTTATAGGATTCTCCACCTTAAGAAAGGACTTTATCAGCAGAAACTCTCAGTATAATAAATCAGATCAGAGCTGAAAACAACATCAGTGTTAAACCTAAAATACAGGTAAAAAAGTCTCTTGAACAAATCTAAAGAGAAGAACTTTCAATGAAACTTAAGCATAGCTAATTGATATCTGTGAAGAGAGAACTTGTACTGCCCGTCCATTACAAATCTCTCTTAGATTTACAAGGATATCTCGATATTTCTCTAAATTTCCTAAAGAGATGTAGAAATTAAGGTGGCCATTTCCAAGAGCTGAAGAAATCGATAGAGCAAACTTATGGAAGAAAATTTGATGTAGTTCACTTTAGATAAATTCTATACATTTGTCCTGACTACTATACTTACAAATGGGAAAATATATCAAATCAAGCTCAGGCTCAACTATTCATTGACTTTAATGATCATCAACAATAAATCGGACAGAATCAGCTTGAAGAAAGATAAAATAATTTCAAGTAAAAATTGTATGAAGTATGCAAAAGATATTATGATGACTTCATCAATAATCTAAAGATACATTCAACTGATGAATATTAGTTTTTAATGGATTTTGATCCACTATATAACCAAATGTGGCCTCATTAATTTGATCCACATTCAGTAGAAACTATTCCAATGGCTGATCTTAAATAGGACAACAAAGCCCTTTAAAAGAGAAGTGAAAGTGTCAAAGACTTCTTAAATAAATCAAATATCTAGCAAAGTTTGATTCAATAAGCTCTTGAAAGATCAATTATTATAAATAATCAATAGAATGCAGTAATGGTGGAATAATAAAAGCCATCTGAAAGTGAAATTGAGTTGAAGAAGTTGAGGGATCTTAGTTAAAATACAGGCATATCTGTTGAAACTTTACGCTTAGTAAAAGCTAAAGAAGGTGCAATTAAGCAAGGCCAAAATATATTGAATAAGTCAATTATGCTTGAGGAAAATTCCAAGAAATAACAGTAAATGTCGAAACTAGCTGAATAGATCAGAATGCATCTTAGCTTTAAAAACTCAAATGCTATTTATATGAATGAAATGACAAAGGTACTCAATGATTCGTAGAGAGGTGCTTTTATATCATAAGGTAAAACTATTAATAATGTTTATTCATTTTTAGACGAACTATAAAACTTGATAGAAGAGCTTTCAAGGTTGGTGCCAAGATGGATAACAATAAAGGAGATCAAAGGAAAGCTAATTAAGACTGACAAGTCTATCTCTGGTTAGCAAGTCCAGTAATGGATTTAAAATCACTTCAAAGGCGAGTAGTAGCCTAGCAACTAATGACTTGTTTAATACCTCAAGTGATGACAATGCTGATAAGTTGAATTAAATTAATTGAAATATATAATTGTATTTAGTTTTTTGATAATATTATTAATCAAAGTAATGTCAAACAAAAGAGATAAGAAACTCTAGCAAGAGGAATAGCCTGATTAAGAGTTGGAAGAAATTTAGAACGATACTCCTCAGGCAAAACCAAGAAAAAGAAGAAAGCCAGTCGAAGAGGAGGTGGAAACTCCAGCTCCTGCAACAAAGGGCCGCAAAGGTATGGGGATAAATATGCCAATGGGAGGAGGATAAAAGAGAGCTTAAGATGATGGAGAAGATGACGAAGATGATGGAGATATTGAGAATGGTGCTCCTAGATAACCTAGGAGAAGAAGAAAGGCTAGAGGAAACTAGGATCTGTGGTTATTATATCTATTATTTAAAGCAGGATCATTTCTTTGGTAAGTATCATGAACACTAAAATCATATTTCAAGAGAACTAGTTTTGTTTTGATTATTGAAATAAAGTCTTATTAATGTTTTAGTTACTTCTTTTTGCCGATAGTGTTCCCAAAAGCTCTATCTTACATTGTAGTACTAATGATGACAGCTCTAGATTTTTGGATCGTTAAGAATATTGTAGGCAGAAAGCTAGTTAAGCTGAGATGGTGGTATATCATTGATAACGAGGGAAATGAAAGGTGGCACTATGAGTCTAAAGGTATGTATTTGAACTAGGCTTATTTAAATTTGAATAGATGTCACTGTACTATTCCAAGATAAACTAGTTTTCTGGGGTTTCCTCGTTATTCACCCTGTGCTTTGGGGACTATTCTTTGTCATGAATGCTATCACCCTTGCAATTTTCGAGGTAACTAAAGTCATTTAAAATCATTTATTAATAGTCATCAATAACCATAGTATGTGGTTTAATTGCAGCAGTATAATTCTACGGATTTAGATAATGCTCTAATGCTCACGCAAGAAAGTAAAAAATTATTCAAAGGAGAGCAGAGGGAAGGCTTCCGGGTCGCGGAGGAAGAGGAGGTCGTGGTAGAAGAGGAAGAGGCGGCCTTTAGGAGCCACTTATGCAAAATAATAGATATTAGAGTTGATTGTGCTAGAATATAGTAGGAGGAATATAGCACTCCCAAGTGCAAGTTATTTTCAGTGCGATACATAATAAATGTTTTTACTTGTAAAATATCTCACATTTTTTAGTTCGGGGTTTTGGGGTTTTGGGGTTATTTTTTAGACAGGATATATGCCTTCATTAAATGG